GCCCCCGGGTTTTCTACTTCACTCCACTTCATCAAGGAAAGCCTCCGGGTACACTTACCCAGAAGCATCCCCGGGTTGTGCCCCACACAGCACATAACAGACGCCTTCGGGATCACTCCCTCAGAAACTCAGGGCTTCATATCAGGGCACCCCTCGGGGTTTCCCCCTCAGCACTGCAAAACCGGGTAGCCCCCGGGGAGTGCCTCATTGACGGATGGCCCAAGGCACACATGTAATGCGAGCCCTCGGGTATCTTCATCACCAACTGATCAACAAACAGTGGACCCCCCGGAAACAACTTCACTGTTGCCCTCATCTGGCAGGCCCTCGATCTTTGGATTGAGGGGCTCCCCTTCGGCGCCACCAGGACATCAACAGCAAGCCTTCGGCTAATCAACACAGGAGCCCTCAGAAGAGAGAGCCTTCGGCATTCCCGTCATTCTCCATTTCTCACCAAGGTTTGACATTTTCGATTCATCATTGGGGGGATTCAGTGCACTCTTTTTCCCTCATTAGGATTTTTTCCCAAAGGGTTTTTCCTAATGAGGTTTTTAACGAGGCATCCCCCCAAAATGAAACGAAAAGCGTCAGCCTTCGGCCCACAACAGCAACGTAACTACTTTACTCCTTTTCACCACTTTACAAGTGCCTCAAGGAGTGGGGGACTGGAGGACCCCTTCGGGAAAATCATTAAATTACAAAATCTGTGAAATTCCAACAAACAACAAAGCAAGCCCTCAAGTCCCGACATGTGGGTAACTGAGGGACTGCCTTCGGCAGGGACATAAAAGCAACAACTCCTCACCAACTTCAGGAATCACGATGGGACAACATCAAAGGGCAAGCACAAGTTACTCCTTTTCCCTCAAGTACCTTTCGGCAAAAGGAGTGAGGGACTCCTGATGGAGTATATGGCCCGGGAACCCCCGGCCCACAGACTCCTACTACTCCAGCAAAGGCCCAACAGGCCCAAAAGGCCCAACAGGCCCAAATCACAGCGCCCAGAGTACCAAGCAGCCCGCACTACGCGCCAGGGGTGCCTTCGCCCCCCCGGCCGAAGGCTCTAAATTCTCACAGAACGGGTTTCTCAAGCAAATTAAGAAACTGGGAGAAAACGGTGAAAACAGTAGCCCTCGGCACTGTGAGCCCTCGGCACCAGGGTGCCATCGGGTGGAAGAGCCCTCGGCTACTGCTCTATAGCCGAAGGCATCTCACTCGACAAGATATCCGCCTCACATGCGTGCAGATCACCGTACCCTGCACAGACGTCCCATCCAACAGCCGCATTAAATGCGGCCACATGCGGTTGCCAGCGCCAACCAGTTGAGGTGACCCCTCGGCCAATGAGCGCTTGACACGTGTCCCTGCCCGGCATTTATTGCTACTATAAATAGCACCCCATTTCCCCATTTGTAACCAAGTCATAACACGCTGAAAACACTCCGCATTTATAATACATTTTCTCTCTCTACTTTTATTTACTTGCTCTGACTTCTCTCTAAATTACTCCCCGTAATAACCCTTCGGATATATACCCCCGGGTAGACTATCCATCATATACCTTGATGAAAAAATGACTCTAAAAAGGAATTTTAGGGAACAAACTCAGAGAGTTAGTATAACTACTGATACATGGACCTCTATTCAGAGGATAAATTACATGTGCATTACTGCTCATTTCATAGATCATCAGTGGAAGCTCCAGAAAAAAATAATTTCCTTTGTCCCTGTCACCTCTCACAAAGGGGAGTACCTTGCTAAAGCCCTAGAGAATTGCTTACTTGATTGGGGTCTGAAAAGTATTTTTACTGTGATTGTTGATAATGCTAGTAGTAATGATACAGCTGTTGGTTTTTTCAAGAAAAAATTAGTAGCCTGGGGTGCTTCTTCTGTAAAAGTAAAGTATGTTCATATGCGTTGCATTGCACACATCTTGAACTTAGCAGTACAAGATGGTCTTAAAGATTCAGACACTTCAGTCATGAGAGTTAGGGAAGCTGTTAAGTATGTTAGGAACTCACCTGCTAGGCTTCAAAAGTTCAAAGATATATCTGATTTGATAGGAGTGGAAGCCAAGAGTGGTCTGCACCTGGATGTTCCAACTAGGTGGAATTCCACTTACCTGATGCTAAAATCTGCAGTTTGTAATGAGAAAGTGTTTGAAGCCTATGAGGAGAATGAATCTGCATATAGTACTGATTTGGGTTCTGACATGCCTGATGTTTTAGATTGGATTGCTGTTGAATCTTTTGTGACCATTCTAAAACATTTTTATGAAATGACACTAAGAATTTCAGGCTCATTATATGTTACTTCCAATACCTTTTTTTCTGAAATTTCTGACTTGTTCCTTGTCCTCAAAGATATGGTTGCCTCTCCAACTGCTTCTGTCAGTGCCATGGGGAGTACTATGAAATCCAAACTAGACAAGTACTGGGGTGATCCTGAAAAGATGAACTATCTAATCTTCTATGCTAATGTCTTAGATCCTAGGGACAAGTTTGAGTATATGTCATTTCAGCTAAATGCTTTATATGGTGATAAAAAAGGTGCTGCTTTTTTTCTAAAAGTGAAGTCAGGTCTAACTGAGTTATTTGTTGATTATGTTTCAAGTTACCCTGACTGTGTTGGTGGAAGTTCTAATACAACTTTTACTTCTGGAGCATCTATGGAGTGTGGTAATTCTGAAAATAGGCCTGTGTCCAGGTTTAAGGCTGATCTTAAAAAGAAGAAGCTTGAGAGTGGTCAGGTAGGAGTTAAAAAATCTGAACTTGATATATATTTAGCTGAGTCCATAATTGAGGAAGATGGGGACTTTGATATTCTAAGATGGTGGAAGTTAAATAGTGAAAGGTTTCCTATACTTTCCAAGATGGCTAGGGATGTACTTGGTGTTCCCATTTCCGCAGTTGCTTCTGAGTCCACTTTCAGTACAAGTGGTAGGGTTTTGGACTGTTTTAGAAGTTCATTAAGTTGTAAAATTGTGGAAGCCCTTATTTGTGCACAAGATTGGTTGAGATTGGCTCACCAGCCTATCTCAATTGAAGAAAACATCGATGAAGTAGAGAGACTGGAAAAAGGTATAACTTTTATAGTTTTATGTGTTTTCATGTATTATTTGCTTATTATGAATCTTCTTGTTTATATTTCATAATTCTAACAATTCTCTTTGTTTGTTATAGAAATAATGGATGGAAATGTTGGTGGTGGAACTGCTGCTCCTACTGGATCCTCTATTGTGCCATTAAGTGTACATTTTCTATATTTTTATAAGGTTTAGGGTTGACATTGCTCTTTCAGTTCATAACAAGCATTCTGACTTCTGAGCTATATGACATGTTTGGTTTTTGCCATTATTTGGTTGTTTGGCTATGATGAAGCTTCCACTCATTACTGCATTTAGGGTTTAGGGTTGGTGTTGCTCTTTTAGTTCATAAAATGGTAAGTTGTAACTGAAATTGTAACAGATGCCCCCTATTTCCCCTTATGAATGATAAAAAGCATTCTGAGCTCTATGAAATGTCTGGTTTGTTTCATTATGTGCTTGATTTTGAATGGTGAAGCTTCCACAGTTCTACTTATTACTGCATATAGGGTGTAGGGTTGGTATTGCACTTTCAGATGCCCCCTATTTCCCTTGTGAATGAAAATAAGCATTTTGAGCTCTATGAAATATCTGGTTTGTTTCATTCTGCCATTATGTGCTTGTTTTTCCAGTTATGATACTCCCATATGCCCATTACTTGATATATATTGGAAATGTTGGAAGCTGTTAAGTATATGTAAATATGTAATACACAGTATAGATGTTTAATACTTCAATGCAAATATATATATATTGCATGAACTGTGTACTAATTTAGCTCACTGTCACTGGTATATTTTTGTTGTACATGTGAATCCCTATACATATGTATAATGTATTATGTGCTCATTACATTTGAATGATTATGATTCTGTCATTCTGGAAAGCATGCACATGCAACCAACTGTCCCTGGACCCTTGTCCCTTGATCTGATTTTCAGGTTTTGCGTAAGTATCTCATTATCCCATTCATCCTTGATTCTATCATTTATATTACTTTTCATTGGCTATGATGAAGCTTCCACACATTACTGAATGTATGGTTTAGGGTTGGTATAGCTCTTTCAGTTCATAACATCTAAGTTTTGACTGAAATTGTAGCAGTTGCCCCTGTATTCCTTGTGAAGGATAACAAGTATTCTGAGCCACTGATTTTTCTAATTTGTTTCATTAACTTATCCTTGTTATTGTACTACATGTATATTGATTTCCATGTGTTCATTAACTTATCTTTGTTATTGTACATATGCAGGGGGAATCTTGAAGGTGTGGTAAATGGTTGTGGAACTGTGGAAGTGTGGAATTTGAAATGTTCAAGCTATGACCTTGAGTGGACTGCCTGAGTGGATGTATTGATTTTGCTTAGTTATAACTTGGAACTTTGCCACTTTGGATGTTAATTACTTGTAATTAAGTAATTAATGCCAAAACTCTATGTTACAATTTTGATCCCCTCCCTAAGCTACTCTGTTACTTAATGACTTGTAATTGAGTAATTTGGTAATTTGAATATCTGGTATCATATGCACATTTTGTATGGGAATCATTTTTTTTTTTGCAATTTCATTGGATTACACTTATATTTACAGTTGTGAAAGTAAAACCGAATTGACCCGATACCCGAACCGAACCCGCCCTACCCGAAATGCAAAAAAAACCCCGAAAATATACAAGTTAAAAACCCTAGGGTAGGACATCCATATTACACAACCGAAACCCGAAAGGGTATTGGTTTTACCCACCCGCCCGACCCGAACCCGCCCGATGCTCACCCCTAGTATTTATACACGTAAAGCTACTAAAATGAACAACTATAAAAAGAAAGACATTGAGAATGGAGCCTTTGGTAATGAATTAATTACTCCATAATAATATACTGATATCAATTAATACGAGAGGACCACGGTAGATAGACGTTTATATCAAATTTTAGCGTGTCCTGTCCTTATCAATTTTGTCTCTCCATTCTGATCGGGAAGTCAAACCAGGAGCTCCCTATTTCCTCCAAACTGCTCACTGCCTAGCTCCATACACAGCAAGGAAGAGAAGAACCCCACCACAGATATGGCTGAGGACAGGCTTATAGTAGAGGTGGAGCCTGCAAAAGCGGCTACTGATGGAAAGCCGTCTGTTGGGCCGGTGTACCGTAGTGTTTTCGCTAAGGATGGTTTCCCGGCGCCTATTCAGGGCTTAAATTGCTGTTGGGATATTTTCCGGTTAGTTTCATTAGTTTTAGTTTTCCCTGCGTTTTTGTTAAAAATCTTCGAATTCTAAGTTCGATTTTAGTCAAATTCATCTAATTTTGAATATCAACTTGGTGATGCTTGTGACTTGGATGAGAAAATGTTGTTAGTTGACCTGCTAAAATGTTGTTGAATGGGTAGTTTCGGATTCATCTTCCCCACTTTGTAAAAGTTATTCCTTTGGGATTATTTTGTGTGTATGTTTGACTTTGATAGGTTGGTAATGATAAACTCTGAAATGATGATACCAAGAGCATCCCTATGGCTAAACTTCTCCCCTCCCTCCTTCCCTTCGTCTCATGATTACTTTACTCACATCTCACCTTTTTTTTTGTTTATGTCCGATCTTTTCTGTTCTAGATGTTACACTTGCCCAATTCATATATATATATATATATATATATATATATATATATATATATATATATATATATATATATATCTTTATTTTTACATACTCCACCTTATTTTTCCATATAATAAACGTTAAAGATTCTAATTGACTTCAAGATTCAACATCACAAATCTGTCTTAGTTAATGTGATTTTATGTATAGATTTTGCTATTAATTTTATAAGTAGAATCGTTAAGTAGTTGGACAAGAAAGAGCTGTTACATATGTGGTCCATATATCAAGGTCTACATGTTTTTAGAAAAAAAAAACACAATTGTTAGAAAATTTATTTTCTGGAAGCAAATTTGTGCGTGTGCAGCACTTTGTACGGCAGGTGCATAACACTCGCCTGACTGGTGTCCGTCGCCTATAGCGGTGTTACATGACACCTGCACGGCAGCTGCACGACACCCGCACGGAAGATGCACTGAAGTACTTGGCAAGTGTATAACTAATTTTTGTCCCAAGAATATATCAACATTGAGTTCATATTTTATAATACCAAATCTCTTTTGCAAGTATAATTTTTAGACCACATTTGTATTATATGCCAAATTTAATAATGACAAGTTTCTAGTTTATTCTAACAATAAAAGAAAGCTAAATGCATGTTAACTTTTTTATATAAATATAATTAATATTATTTATTTATAAAATATTTTCTTTTTTTGGATGAAATGTAAATATATATAGAATCATCCAAGAATGTTTATGTACATCATATGAGTAGAAAGCAAAACTGCAAGCAATCCCAAGTAAGGATGCCCTATCCATCTACGTGATAGCTAACCATCTAAGCTAGCCATCCACCCCAAAAATCAGCCATCTAGCCATGATAAAAAATGGGTGAAAACAGTCCCAAATGTTTCAAAAGTTTATCATATTAACTGGATACATCACATAGAGCACTTTATACACCATGTACTTGATTTGTACCAAAATATCATCCACTTTAGGCGTGGCTTCATCAAAACGAATAGCATTTCTTGTTCTCCACACCTAACAGATAAAAAATATTTCTACATTCTTATGAAAAAAGACCAAGTTGAAGAATTGAAGTTTAAATGGTTTTGAGAAAAGGTTAGCTAATTATTATTATCTTCATCTGAAAATATTTGTATTGTAACATACAAATTGTGTGATTCAAAGTCATTCACCCTTTACGTTATCATTTACACAATTTCACAAATTTTAAATTCTACTATTTTTTCCCAAACTTTGTTGGACAGAGGGCGTACTAGTTAAGTTGCATGTTTATTTGTTTGTAATCATTACTAATTACTTACATTTGTGCCGGTAAATTAAATCACCTTTTGATTACAATATGAATTTTATGTTTATGCCGGCCCCAAATTCTTTTGGGATTAAGGCTTGGATGCTGTTGTTGTTGTTGCGATTTTTTGAACACCACATTTGTCCCTTAAATATAGAACCTTTTAGTCTACTGTAAAATGCTTCTCTGCAATATATGCTATTTTGTGTCCTTTGTTTTTAGCCTCTATCTAACTCTTAGACAATCTCCATTTACAGTCTATTTAACTCTAAGTGAAAGTAATTAATTAAGTTTTTACTATAAGATATTCGCAATTAAAGTTGCGGGTATTTTTTAGAAATAAAGTGAAAAAGCAAGAATCTCATGTTAGTCACATCTGTTTTACTATTAATGGAGGGGATTAAAAAGAAAACAATGCTAATTAAAGGGGTGAAAACAAATAGTAGGGACCTAAAACAAAATAAATTTATTTGTAGGAACTATAAACTTAGTTAAGCCTATTTTAGATTACGTTTACAGATAAATTTATACGATTCTGTTTTCAAAAAAAAATTATACGACTCTAGTAGTATAACAATACCTTGCGGGATACACATTGGCTGGACGGAATACACAACTCATATTGGTTGATACACTTAGCTATGTGGTATATTCTATACAAATACCCTGATTTGAGAGCTTAGAAGATAAGAAACCACAGATTTGCATTATGAACCTGAAGTCGGTATCTTATCAAGAGTTTAGTACCATCAGTTTGCACTTTGCAGTGGAACTTGTTAAGCGTCATGATGAGCAAAACAAACTAACAGTCATGCTATCTTTGCACTACTGATTTAAGATACATCACACTATAAAGTCTATGATTTTCAAGAAAAGTATCTTTAGAAGCACTTGATACTATCAGGTTGATAGTTTATGAATTTGTTTCGCAATCCATTGTATATGTTGGAAATTCAAAATTATTTTCTTAGTCGTATGGAAAATGTAGTGAAAGTTAAGACATTTTCTTATGTTAAATTCGTTTTAAATTTAGTTTTGTTATGGAGATTAGTATACAAGGATGCTTGTATTTGTTTTAAAAAGGTAAGCTCTGCTGAGGTCCACCAACCTCCCTTGACTAGGTAAAAGTTGCTCTTGCTAGCTGCCACCTAAGCTGATTTTTACAACTTTGTTCCATAACGTTCTAAATGTACTGTGTTAGCTTTGTCTTAGTTTTTTCTGTTAGTACGTTTTTGTTCAGCAGAAGTGCATACCTGGATCATTTTTTGCGTGTTGTAGATTATCTCATGACGGAATGCGGAAAATCATTTTAGATATATGAGGCAAGTATCCTGTTTCGATATGATAATAGTAAAACTCAAGTGCATCTGTTTTTGTTACAGTTTATCAGTGGAGAAGTATCCCAACAATCCAATGCTTGGACGCCGTAAGATCATTGATGGAAAAGTATGTTCTCAGAGTATACATGCATCTTTTTATTTTCACTTGGCTTTATCTTCATCTTAGATAATACTTTGGAATCTCGCTTTGATGTGCAGCCTGGAAACTATGTCTGGATGACATACAAAGAAGTATTTGACATTGTAATCAAAATAGGAAATTCTATTCGCAGCTGTGGTGTTGAAGAAGTAAGTGGTCATGTAGTGTACAATACTCTTTAAGTTTGGGTAGATAAGAAAGTTCTATGGATTGTATCCATTAAACTGTCATGTCTTCATAGAACCACACACCATAGTAGTGAAAATTGGGAAGTCCATTCAAAGCTATGGTGCTGAGCTGTTGTTGAAGAAAGCAGTGATTGGTGTGCTACATAAATTTTAGTGATGACGAACATTTTCTGATGTCATTTCATTTTCATTTACCCCAGTGCCGCAAAGGCTCCCACCTACGGTGGGGTAAGGGGGGTCGGATGTACGCAGTCTTACCCCTGTACTAAAGCACAGAGAGACTGTTTCCGGATGACCCATAGTGAAAATCGCGTCCAAAATTGCATGGACTGACTGCTGCTCCATAACAAAGAAGCGCAGACAGTTTAGTGAGCCATTTTGCTTTATTCCATCATAATCTCAAGCCAAAAAATAATGAATCTTTGGCTCCATTGCAAATGATGGAAAGAACATTTTCTGATGTGTATCCATTAAATTTTTACTTATCCGCCCTTTGGCCTGTTGTTAGGAATTTGTATTGAATTGCATGATCGGAGTGTGGTTGCTAAAATGCAGTCTTAATATACTGTTGTATCATCAAAGTCTGAATATTCTATCTTTTCATATTTTAATAAATGAAGTTCTGTTTATTAATTGCTGTTTAACTTTCCCTAGGGAGAAAAATGTGGAATATATGGTGCCAATTGCCCAGAATGGATCATTAGCATGGAGGTAATGTCTTTCCTCATTTCTTGTTTTTTACTCGCAATTTCGTGAGTCCTTTTTCACTCGCACTTTCTTGAAGTCTTGTTTAAGTATTGCATGAAGATAGAATCTTTAAGGAACATCTTCTTGGGTATACTCCCCCATATGGTCAGACCATGCCTGATGCTCATACACTTGTACTAGCTTCTTTTTGTCTGTTTTTTTGGAACTTCCCATCCCATAGATCTATAAGCTTCACCATTTTATTATCCTTGTGTTCTTTTTATTCATCTGTTTGCAGTTATTTTCTGCATATATAATTCTGCTGAGTTCTATTTCATATAGATATTAGAGCTCGCTTGTTTTTCCAATCTCAATATATTTCACTCCAAATGAATGCAGGCATGTAATGCCCATGGACTATATTGTGTCCCTCTCTATGACACGTTAGGTATGTCACAATCCCCATACACTGCCTGATAAGAATTTTGCTTGTTCATGTCATCCTAACATATTATCTTATTTTAATGAGTAACTCTATTCTGGTATAAGTAACTAAATCTGATTATTTGATTTGATTACTTGTGGTGTGATGTAGGTGCTGGTGCTATAGAATTTATAATATGTCATGCAGAGGTTAAAATTACTTTTTGTGAAGAGAAAAAGATTCCTGAGGTATGCTTAAAAGTTGAAACATATCCTTTGATCCTCTTACTTTTGAGTTAATTACTTACTGCCTCAGAGTCCCTCACTTCTTAAATAAGTGTCCATATGGATGGCCATTTAGTAACCCGATTGTAGTGTGATACAATAAGACATGCTAAAATGACGAAGTAGTCCTCATATATTAATGCTTACTTTTGATTATATGGTTTCTTTGATACCTAAAAATTAGTAGGAGTATGTTTGTTACTTTGTGACTATTAATCATCACATTAAACATCATAGCTTTTCCTTAATGGTTACAGAGATTCTTTGAATCGAATTGATTACTAACAACCGTAACAGATGTCGGTTCAATCTGAAGGAAAATGTGCTGAAAAACGTATGGAGTATCTCTCTACTAAATATTAACGGTCAAATCTCTTCCCATAGGAAGCTATCTGTCAGAAACAAAATTGACCTACCAAAGTGCTACTCTATGAAATATGTCAATATCCGCGAAATAAAAATCTTAATTTCCTCTCGAAGGCATTGGACAACATGGATCAGAATCACTCAATCAAGTCTAGAACTATAAGATGTGTTACCAAGCTACAAATGGGGTTAATTTATTTATTCTGGTTATTCCCATTTGATGCTTTCTTGAGTGTTAAGGGCATTTCAGGCTGCTTCATTTGTGAGTTTACCTTCTAACAAAATGTCACTTTTTCCTTTCCAGCTTCTGAAAACCTTTCCAAAGGCGTCACAGTACTTAAAAAGTAAGTCTTCTACTTTTATACAGATGTAGTGTCATTTTGATATCACCCTGAATTAAGCAATTGATAGCAATGGTTTCTTATAGAAACTGTATAAGAGAAGGGAGAGAATATAATGAAGAATTTTCAAAAATCCTCCAAGTCTCTGATATATGAAACTGTCATGAAGTGCACAAATCTCCGTGTACAAATAGAGAGTTCAGTAATTGAACAACCATAATCTAAACATACTACTCCCTCCGTCCCATTCAAAGGTTCTCACTTTCCCTTTTTCGACGTACCAGCTAAAAGTCCTTATTTTCTATTTTAGGAAATAATTAACACTCTTAAAATAACAATTTAATCTCAAATATGAACAATAATACATCTATCACATTTATCATCAATAACTCATTATACTATATATCCATCAAAATATTTCTCAAAATGTACTCAAATTAGTATATTTAATTATTGCCTAAATAATCGTTCCATTTTACAATGGAAACCTTTGAACGGGACAGAGGTAGTACTAGAATTTATAGGATCCTCCAATAAATAGAAGTAGAACACTAAAAAATTGAAAATGTGGGGTAGTGCCGAACTTGTCTCCAGGAAGCTTTGTTTGATCTTTTTCTTTAGTACACGGCTTGATATGATGATATCAACATCCTAATCCTCATGTTTCTTTTCCTCAGCGGTTGTTAGTTTTGGGGAAGTGACACCAGAACAGAAGGATAAGTTAGAGAGCTTTGGCACTGTGATTTATTCTTGGGATGAGTTTTTATCACTAGTAAGCCTTTGGCCTTCTTTACTACAAAGCTTTTGTTTGTTCTGACAAGCTCAGAGATTTGGGCTAAAACTCGCATCTCTCATAGTCTCATCATATGCAGGGAGAAGATAAGAACTTCGATCTTCCAGCAAAGAAAAAAACAGACATTTGTACAATAATGTATACCAGTGGGACAACTGGAGACCCTAAAGGTGTCTTGATTTCAAATAATAACATCGTTACTCTTATAGCTGGAGTAAAGCGTTTACTAGAGAGCGTGAATGAATCGGTATACTGATGCTTCTTTTCTAGTAATAGATGGATCAATTTCCTTTCCTCTTTTATTTTTCCAACTCTTTAGGCTTTTCATCATTTCATATGGCAGCTTTCAATGAATGATGTATACATTTCATATCTCCCTCTGGCTCACATTTTTGATCGGGTGATTGAAGAGTGTTTCATCAACCATGGTGCATCAATTGGATTTTGGCGTGGGGTACATTGTTGAAATATTTTTCTATGTCAAATAAGAGATTATGCTATGAGTGTGCGGGTGAACATAATGGTTCTTCTAATACTTCTGCAGGATGTCAAGTTATTAATTGAGGACATTGGGGAGCTGAAACCTACTATATTCTGTGCTGTTCCACGGGTTTTAGAGAGAGTCTATTCAGGTATATGTGCTGCTTCTTGAATTGCAAATCAATGTAATTGTTTGCGTATGTAGAATTCTTGATATGAACGTGCATGTATGCTTCAAGCATGACATTGTTCAAACATTTTTTTTAGTTTCTTATGTAGAGTTACTAAAACCAAAATTGAGTTAAAAAATAATCAAGTACACACTTTTGTTATTTTCATTCGAAGACCTAGTTCATTTCCTCCACATCATCTTTATGTTGAAAATTTATCATATTCGTAATCTTTACTCAACACCCATTGTCTTGATTGTCTGCTATACTCTCTATTACATATTATCAGGTCTGCAACAGAAACTTTCTGCAGGAGGTTTTCTCAAAAGCAAATTGTTCAATTTTGCATATGCCTAGTAAGTCCTCTCCCCATGCTTTACTCGTTTCTTCTTTTACTTTCAGCTGCAGAATTGACCACAGATGAGAATTTTAAAAGATGTTGCTGACTTTTATGATTTCTTATACAACTCTATTTTAGAAATTCTTATTATTTATAGTGTCTATAAATGTCTAGATAATTTCCACTTTTGGTAGTACGAATAATTACCAGATGATCTAACACACCCACATTACTTGCGAGGATATTATGAATTTATGACTTATGAGAATCGAGACATTATGCTCGTATAACTATCAAGTGAAGATGAAATTCATAGTATTTGCACTTGGAATCATGTATGATTTAAATATTATTTGCATCATAAACTGCACTTTTTCTGCTTCGTCTGTTCTTGTGAAAAGTTGAAGCTTTGCTTTGCACTTCAGTGCGAAGTGTATCTCTTCACTATGGCGAGCATTTCTGCTTTAGGAAGTTTAAATAATTCCAATTTCAATTACTACGCATACCACTTAACTTGAAGATTTGCTTGTGAAAAATCTCGAACAAAAAATTCAATTTTTTATGAGACATTACATCAATGAACCACTTTGACTTCAAATTGATGAACCACTTCCATGGCTTCAAATATATAATCCACTTTTAATTGGATTAAAGTACCTATAACTGCAATTGCTAAAAAGTTATAACTATTTTTAAAGAATTTTCAATGCTCTGCAGCAAATTTTACAACATGAAGAAGGGGTGTAAACATGACGAGGCATCTCCAGTTTGTGACAAAGTTGTTTTCAGTAAGGTAGGTACTAGATTTTTCATTTATAGAGCTCCTATATGTGCCTTACATTTTTCATTATACCAGAGAAAGGTATTGTAATTTTAACCATTGCCTTCCTTGGGATCTTTGTGTTTAGGTCAAAGAAGGGTTAGGTGGAAGAGTAAGACTTATATTATCTGGAGCTGCACCCCTTGCATCTCATGTAGAAACGTTTTTGAAAGTTGTCGCATGCGCTCATGTTCTTCAAGGATATGGTACTCTTTGTTTTTTAATCCTTCTGTGTACTAAACCACTTTCTATATCTAGATAGGGCTGCTTGTTCTCATTTATAAGGAGATTTACGGTGAGTGGGGTGACATTTGTTCTCAAACCTTCGGCTGCAGAAGGGATTAACCTACACTTTTATTTAGCTATATCATCGTACTGGAACACATGAACTCACACTACCTTCGCATCACAATATCACATGAATAACAGGCAACATTTCATTGTTTAGTAGCACACTTTAACTCGTCTCTCAGCCGGAATCAGAAATCAAACTGGACAATTTGAGGGGTGGATAAATGAACCAAACCAGTCCTCAACAGGCTTACTCCAAACCATGATGTGAAACAAGCAAATCACACTCACATTAGATTAAATTAGTCCTATTTCATTCTAAAAGGATCTTCCAGAGGTCAGGTTTACCTTATTCTTATATTATGAATTAGACACTTGTTTGGTAAACATCCAGTGTTGAAACTAACAGTCTCCCAGTGCTACTTTGGCCTTGCAGTTGCTTTTAGAAATGTAGGTCTTAACAATATACTGCATCAATATACTGTATCAATCTGTAGTTACCGTTTAAAAAATGTTATTTCCACTGATCTATCAATAAGCACCTTTTTATACCTTATCAATTCCCCAAAATTAGGTTGCACATGCAGTTTGAATTTTAATTCTACATGAACTATAGTATAGTAGTTGTGTTATTCGGTACGCATGTTATTGAAGCTTCTAATTCAGCATGGAGTGCTTGTAAAATGTACAGGTTTGACCGAGACATGTGCTGGTACATTTGTCTCACTCCCAAATCGGGTCGATATGCTGGGTACAGTAGGCCCTCCGGTGCCCAATGTTGATGTGTGCCTGGAGTCGGTTCCTGAAATGGGGTATGATGCTCTATCAGAGATACCACGCGGTGAAGTCTGTGTGAAGGGTGATACTCTTTTTTCAGGTTACTACAAGCGTGAAGATCTCACGAAAGAGGCCATAGTTGATGGCTGGTTCCACACAGGTTATTCTCCCCTCCGTTACTCGGAATGGTTTTGCCTTTTGTTTTTTCACCTTACGGGTCCCTTAAAAATACATACTTTCAGGTGATGTTGGTGAGTGGCAATCAAATGGGAGTCTAAAAATTATTGATCGCAAGAAGAACATTTTCAAACTCTCTCAAGGAGAATATGTTGCAGTGGAAAATTTGGAGAACATCTATGGAGAAATCTATGTTATTGACTCCGTATGTGTCCTTTTCAGTTGCTAATCAGCTCTAATCTCTAAATAATATTTGATGCCAATAACTCACCAATAATATTAAACTTATATGTTTTCGTTATGTTTTCTTTTTAATAAACAACATATCTATTTTTACTATCTCCAGATTTGGGTATATGGGAATAGCTTTGAGTCATTTCTGGTAGCGGTTATTAACCCAAACCAGCCAGCAGTTGAAAAATGGGCTGAGCACAATGGCATAGCTGGAAATTTTGACTCCCTGTGTGGAAATCCAAAGGTGAAGGAATACATACTTGGGGAGCTAACAAAGATTGCAAAAGAAAAGAAGGTTGACCCTCCTAATCTTGTTTGTATTCTTTGTTAAACTGTGTGCACATGCTTTCTTATTTTACCCTTCCCATTTACTTAGTCAGACACAAAACCCTTTATTAACCTAATAACCCCTTTACAGTTGAAGGGATTTGAGTTTATAAAGTCTCTGCACCTCGATCCAGTGCCATTTGACATGGAACGCGATCTTCTCACCCCAACATTCAAAAAGAAAAGACCACAGTTGCTGAAATACTATCAGGTAGTTTTCCATTTTCAATAGAATTGTCGTAATGTCGTATGACTTGTATATTATGTGTCCTACAATGGAGGTTTACAGAATGTTTATCTAATAGAAGTGTGAGTAAAAACTCATTCTTGAGGATGCTTTAGGGTGAGCTAGACTCAATTTAACCCGGTATAAGAGCATGCTCGGGATGGTTTGTTTTTGTTTGTTTGGCATACATGGTTTTAGCTAGACTGTTTAGGGCTGATTTGGCTCATTTACACACACCCTTAAGTGATCCACCCCGATGTAGGCTGTGGGGACGTGTAAATTGTTAAAATACTTTTCCGTCTCCTATTATTTTGCCATGTTTCTTTTGGTTGTCCTAGAAACTTTGTCACTTTCAATTTTGATTAGTTATTTTGTGGTTCCCATTATTTCTCTCTCCCTTGCACAAACCCCAACAATACAATTTTTACTTATTATTTCACACACCAGTCAAACTTGGCAACATTATAAGAGACAGAGGAAGTATCATTTAGGGTGGGGCAGTGGGCTTGACCAATTGAACCACATGCAACAAAAGTACAAAACAAGCTGGCCTTCCTCTGTCAATTTATCTACTACTTAAAATTTAAGCTTTGGCATTACGAATGCTTTGTTTGCAACATGCTTTTTACGTGCATGTGATGTGGCTCTTTCTTGCATTTCATTCCCTCTTTCTTGACCAACGTAATCTAGGAAAACACCTAGTTAGATGTATTACACTTGTTAGACTTTTTGGTAAATGTGACCTAGTTAGAACTTTCATTAGATGTTCAATTGGGCGCTTCTACATGCGTTAGGCGTCGTTCGTGCGCCTTTTGCAACGTGTGAATACAATAGCATCGTCCATTATTTTTCTAGGAAGTAATTAATGTGCCCGGTTTCAAGTTCATTTATCTGTCCCATGACAAAAGTTCGCTTGCCTTGCAGACCGTCATTGACAACATGTATAGGAGTGCTAAATGAGCTTCATATGGTGCAGAGCGCTGTGATAATTATATTCCCGTGACACACCTCCTTTCCCCCCTTATTTATGTGATGGAATTTTTTCCGCTAATGTATTCTTTTCCGCTTTATAATACGAGCAATCTGTAGTATGTACTCAGTAGACAGTAGTGCATATAAGCTTGTCAGTGAAGTATCTTATATGTCATACGTTCTCTTTTAGTTGCACCGTTAACATTTTCTTGACAATTGGTATATTTCGTTCCTTATTAATATTTTTTTTTGAAAATAAAAGAGCTACTTTTATATTAGGACGTCCTCCCGACAATTACAACAAATTCAATTGTAAGTTCTAAGAATAGACACTGAATTAACAATCTCATACAAAACAATCTGACACACTAGACACGTAACATGGAATTGTAAGCCTAAAATGATCGGAATTGAAACAATGTCTATGAAAAGTACTTAAAAATTCAAATGTCCAAATCAAACATACTCAAACTAAAATAAAAACAAGTACTACTAAAGAAGAAATAACGTTGGAATGTTCACAATTGGTTATTGGTGTAATATGGATGATCACTAGAAAAAGATGAGATGTAGCATCAAGTAGATAGAAAAAGACCCTTTTATGCGGTTATGCCTCTTTCATTCTCTACGCAGTCCAAAATAGACAAATAACGGTCTAACCAGGCCAGGACAACAAAGGAACTCTCCACATTGAGAGAGACAAAACACAGTGGGGCATCATGAGTCCATGACTAGGAAAGAATTGCTATAGAATAGAACAAATACAACATCAAAAGAAGAGTAGACAAGTTGGATCATACTCTTACTAAATATTTTTGGGAATACTAACAGAGATCTGCGATACTCATCCTGGCTGCTAGGTTTTTTAGAGCACACATCTATTTGGAGGAATCGGCGATGTTGTTAATTGAAGACAAAAGACTTGAAGTCACCTGGCTCTAGTCCTTTGCTTGGGCCTACGCTGGAGATTGAAGAGGAAGCCTGCAAGTCGTGCGGCTTAGGTAGTAATAAAATTTAAAAGTCCAGATTTTGATAATTTAAAATGATACAAACAAAACATCATTTTTCAAAAAATCTATTAATATATAATAGCAAAAGAAATCTTCCTTAAGAAGTTATAGCCAAAACTGGCCGGAGGAAGCCGCATGGAGGAAGTCTTAAAACTTAAAACTTAAAAGTAGTTCATAGATATTTAATAATGTATATATAGGCATATAGCTGGAGAACAACTCAATAGATTCCAACATTTTAGAAACCGCAGTTAATAAATGAGCACAAGTTCTGAAACGTTTTACCAGAAAATTCGCATGGGGAATCTCCAAAAGTAAAAAGATGCTAATCCATTTAATTAGGACTGCAGCTAATTACAACATACATATACGGCTCCAATGAGTTCACATTGCTCAATGTACATAGAATACATTAATGCTATATACTTTTGTGCTACGTATGTGTTTTTTTTGTATAAAAACATTACCTGCTCAACAGACCCATCTGAAATTGTCAAAGGTAAAATTTGGTGAAGCTACAACATGTTCGAATCTTCAACAATATAGTAGGCATGCATGCATGTGGAGTTTGATAAATTAATTATATGGAGTACTAATTAGGTTAAATCCTTTAAAGTACGGAGCCCCTCAAGTCCTTTCGAGATGAAGAGGTAATTCAATATTTTATTTATGAAAGAAAAAAAATTGGGGATAAATATTAATGGTTTATTCTTAAGGCAACTAACATAACTTATCTATTTGTTCATTTGTGGAACTAGGATCTATGCAAACATTAAGTGGAATCAGATCGAAAAGTTTCAGCCTGTGTTCGTGAATTGAAGGAGCGCATTTGTTTGCGATAAAGACCATTTCAGGAAAATTACATGTATTTGAAGATAACGAAAAATGTTTTCAGGCTACAGTTTATGAACAAAAGAGAAGCTTTTGAGATTATTTGGGACTATTTACTATGATGGATTATCTTAAGTCATTCTCTGATTAATTTGGAAGGGAAGGAAATAATAAATGAAAATCACAAAATTGGTAAATTTTTATTTTTATTGATCTTATCATATAATATCAAAATCAAGTGTATCGAATTAAGATATACTTGATTTCTGACAAACAATTTAATAAGGAGTATAAGATATAGATGCCATGCATTGCCGATGTCGGAATAGTCAAGTGTATCGAAATCATCTAGCATGACGGAAAAGACCCCAGGCTTTTGGAGTTTATCATTGTTGATACGTAAACACTTTGGTGGTAAAACTAAATTAAAATAGAATTGAACTAAATATTGGTGTTAAATGTCCATACCAGAACATTTATGAGTTCTTTTACAGAAAAATACCATCTTATCGTTCTCTGGGATTGGTATGGTAAATCAACAGATATCTTTCAACAAAATAGAAAACCACCCTATCGTTTTAGTTTGTCATTGATGCTTTCATGTAAAGAAGTTGCATGGTCTATCTCCTACACTTAGAATTTGACAAGAATAAACCGCAAACATTTCTAAATAACTAATTTCTAATAACATGTAGGTCAAGTATATGTATATCAAACAAGTTTGACGTTTCAAATGGAAACACTCAATAATTTGAAGATTTGAGATCCAGCTATCCAAAATACGTGCATGTTCATTGTGTGTACATAAGATTATCGTATTCTCCCGGACATTAGAGTTTTAAGTTTACTTTATTTTTATTGATTGTACCAGCTAGGATGCCTCCATGCGATAGAGAATGGAGATGAAGCTGTTATCCTGCCGTTGACATTTCAGACAACAACCCATGGTGACATTTCTAGAAGAAACCTCTAGTTAATCACAATTGAGAATCCAATTCAAACCACATTTGTAACTTATAACGTTTGCTACTTTTTTTGTCATGTAATAAGGCATAATTTCTTATGGTTACTTTGAATACGTTAACCCATATGTTTCATGCAACGATGTTTTGTAGAAAAGTTCTAGAGATCATTATAAGTTTTCAATGGAAATAGAGAGCTTGGTAGACACCCAAATGTTCTTTAGGGTCCAGAAAAGAGGTTAGATACCAAAATATTTAACGGGGTTAAGAATTCAAGTACACTTGATGTCAATTATTGTGACTCAAACACTCAAACGTGATATCCATGTATTCTCTTAGGGAATCAAATGCTCAGGCAGGTATAATTTTTTTATAATGTAACCAATTAATTTATAATGTACCAGTAAAGGTCGATTTGAAGGGGCTGAAAGGCGGTTGTGATACAACCTATTGTGATTTCAAGATTGGAGTTTCTCAACCAGTCTTGTTCGATTGAGCTGTTGTGGACGGGTAGGAATACTCTCCAGGGTTTTAATGCGACACTTTTGGTTCGTTCGCAGATTTCCATGCAGGCTTCGGTGTTTTAGGTGATCGAAGGGGCAGAGCTCCAACGTTAGGCACATGTTCACGTACCAAGACACTAAAGCGAAGAGATGGAACTCAGTAATAACGAAGCAAGGTAGCAGAGAAGTGCCTATGTGTCGGCTACGGTTGCAAGACCCAATTTTCCGATACTTGATTTCGCTATTTTGGCTTTGATGGTGACTGAGACGGGAGCTGCACCAGCTGTATTTGATCCGGGTGGAACTCTGGCGGTATGGGTTCCGATCAAAGAGGGTGATTTTGGGCTCCATTCGGCTGTTGGGGGATCGACACAGTTGTTTTGGCCACCTCAGGTGGAGGAAGAAGAAGATGGTATGTGGATGATTCGTCCCCCTCTTGAACCGCTGCCACAGAGGAATTATGTGACTAGGGTATGGAAGACAACACTTGAAGAATGGATCCGGTGGTTCCACCAGTTGAAGTTTGTTTTTTTGCTATGTTGTGTTTGTTAATCTTTATTTTGTTTTTATCAGGTCAAATAATAAGGGTAATAGATTATTAGATTGGTTCATCTTAATTGCTAGATTTCTATTGAGAGGCAATCGGGCTGACTCAGCCGTAATAGCCTCAAAACTCTCACATTTTTCAGCGATTAGTCTCGCTCTTTTTGGAGTGGATTACTCTATGTCTGATAAAGAAGTGGGGGACTCGATGAGCTTATGGTTATGTTTGTCTAGAGGGAGGTTAGTGTCTGAGAGTTACTTTATTGTTTACAATTCTCCTAGTTGTACTGTGAGTTTTGATTTAATATAATATACCAGTTTCTAGTCAAAAAAAACAAAATTTGTAACACATTATAATTAATGAAGAACATGTAAATACTGTAAAATTCAATATGTTACATCTATTTATTGTTAATATTTATTGTCAAAGTAGAGAATATTGAGTATGGATCACAGAGACACATTACATAAGGTCAATAAGGTGGAGAACGCACTTAGAGTCAAAGTCTGGGTCTCATAACACGTTCTCTGTGATCATTCAGGCAATCCTCCTCCCCTTCTTCCTCTTCCTCCTCCTCCTCCTTCCACTTCTTCCTCTTCTTCTTTCTTTTTATGTTTTATTCACCTTCATCATCATCTTCCATCACCATTTTTTCACCGAAAAATGGGTCAAAAACTCATCGAAGTATAAGAGGCGCCTGAATTTTTGTTTGTATCATGCTAAATAATGATAAATATTGCCTGGAATGAAAGATGAAACACAAAACCTAGTGACATTCTATGAATTTTTGCCATAGAGAAGAAATATATGTTCACCGACACTGGTTTGTTCTCAGTGTTTGTGTACACAGACAAAAAATGTTAAAAAAAGGTCAAGGTTAGATTGCACCGAAAGAAGTGTCTATGTACACAGACAAAAATTGTATACGTACAAACACTTTTTTTCACAAAGACAACTAATATATGTGTACACCGACATTGGTTTCCGTGCAACCACTCTGACAGATATGCAAACCATTTTTTTTCACACCAACATTTTTTTGCCTACATAGACAACTAATGTTTGTGTACACCGATTTTGATTTCCGTGCAACCAGCCTGACAGATCTCCAAAGTAATTTTATTTACACCGACAGTTTAATCGAAAGTGTCTGTATTTATGCATTTTTGTCTGTGTGCATAGCAAATAAAGAGGGTGTAACCCATGATATACACCAAAAACTTCTGTACTCCGTAATATTTACTTGCAAAGTATTGAAAATATACGTACTATAGGGGAACCTAAAAGTACCAAAGTAACCGAAGAGGGGGTACTTTTATTTTTTGTGTATATGAGGATTGAGGATACTTTATATTATTGGAACATAAATAACTAAAATAAGTACCAACTGACATATCTAAAAGAAGAAAAAGGAAGAAAGTGCACGGAGATGCTCTGTCTTTATTGACTCGCGTT